TTTATTTAAAATTTATATTTAAAAAATTAAAAAATAAAATTAAGTTTTTATTAAAATAAACAAAAGGAGTATATTTTAGTTGCAACCGAAACTGGCCGCATATTGATCAAGAAAAAGAAAATTCAAACTCTAACTAATACCCCTTTCCGGCCCAGCACGGCTTTTGCATCCAATTGGTGGAGGTCTATTCTTGTGATAGAAAATGAATAAAAACAAATAATACGAAGTCAAAAAGAATGGCAATCATAAACAATTTCAAACGGAAGATTTAAATTTGGGACTTGCTAGAACTTCCTTGATTCTTAATAAAAGTTTTATACTAATACGTTTAAAACCTATCTTAATTTACTATCTTAATTTTTTGCTGCTAATGTTACATGCCATACTAAAAAATGGGGTCCATTAAAAAAAGAAAAAAGGAAAAGGGAGATAAGGTGTAAGGAGCGAATAATATGAGAATAAGTAAAATTGAATTTGTTCTTCTGACCTGAATTTGGTCGCCAAGGTTGACAATAAAGGTGTGAGGAATGGGGTTCACCGCAATCCACTTGCCTTCTTTGAGTACCTGCAAACCAGGCACATCATCTTGAAGGAGAATGGTGATAACATTTGGATCGGCATGACCAGGCAGACCATAGGTGAGCTCTGGCTGGGGGCATGGCGGGTAGAAGTTGATAGCCAAGTGCTGTGCATGCTTTCCCAGGGCAGAGTTGATGTAACCCCTTTCTAGGCCTAAGCTCTCTGATATTGCTTCAAGTAGCCTCAGAGCCAGCTCTCTAGCACTCTTGCAGTACTTCCCAACATCCTCTCTGTATGAAGAAGACCAGAGATTACATAAAATCTTGTTAATCAACAATGTCCTAACTAAATATTGTACCTGAAAGATGGAGGGTTGGTTGGCCATTCATGAATGTAATCCTCTAAAGGGAAGCAATGGAGTCTCAAGTAATCCCTCCAATTGGATACTTTCTCAGTTTTAACATTGAAACTGGTGGAGAGTCTCGTCGTTTTCATAGGATCATCGGAGTAATTCTTCATCCTCTCACTCTCCGGTAAGTGGAAGAATTCCCTTGATATACTCAACATCTTGTCAATCACCTCTTTTGGAACTCCATGGTTCTTAACCTTCACAGGATTAAAAAAATCAACCTAATGTAATTGGAGATGCATTTTATGTATGTGAAATGGATAATGGACCTGAAAGAAGCCATAGTGTTTGCAGGCCTCAGCTATCTCTTTGATTACTTTGGAATGGTCAG